TACTATGCATATGTAGGCCTAGATAAGTAATACAATACACATTCAGTACAGTACGGTCGACTTTGGCTTAAAAAACTACGGTATGACAGTCGACAGAAGACGGGAAATGCAATTACTACCTCTAAAATCTTACAACTATTACCAATGTATTTTATTTAAAGGCTGGTATACTTATATCATATTGAAATATTCCACTAAAACCGGAGAACTTTCGTCCAAATTGCTACACATTGTCACTTTCCTCGCGACATTGTTTACATTAGTTACCGAGTTTACAAGAACGTTTGTGATTGGCTAATAGCGTCTCATCAATGCTTAACAGGTATAGTAAGTATGCTGTGATTGGGTACTACTTTCGTGAACGACATTATTTTTTCGAAGATAAATTCTCATTTTTGGTTACAGTTTCCCCAAATTTACGATTGCCGACGATTATATTATGTTTCAATAAAATAGTATTGACATTTTTGTGCGAATGCCAAGTAGCGCGGATCGGTGGGTCACAGAATTCGTAAACTAAGCCGATTTTGGAGCCTCAACCCACGGTCTACTAAGCATCGGATGTTTTCCATTTATCTGTCCTGCTATGACAAGATCATTGTGTAGTCTTTTGTTTAGTTGTTAGCTTGTTATTTCATTTTTTTTCACGCATTTTGATTTATTTGTAATATGGGGACAATTTGTTGATAATTGTTGATAACCAGTGTTATTACCAAAGTGTTAATGAGTAAATGAAGAATCATTTTTATTTAATAGATTACATTAATATTTTACAAAATTACGTCATTAAAAAAACATTGAAAAATTCGAAGAGTTTAGTAAAAAAATTATAAAGCACCAAAGTCATAAGCACAAACATAAGAATTGAAGAAAACAACTTTGCTACACCGACAAATAGGTGTGTAGCATACAAGAAAAAAAAAAATGCATATTGCAGGCTAAGCGGATTTATTTGTAATATGGGGACAATTTCAGAACATCCTTGTTCGTATTCCACACACTGTTTATTTCTTTTCTATAAATGTTGATAGCCAATGTTATTACCAATGTGTGAATAAGTAAATGAAGAATCATTTTTATTTGATAGATTACATTAATATTTTACAAAATTACGTCATAAAAACAATGAAACATTCCAAGAGTTTACTAAACAAATTATAAGGCACCAAAGTCATAAGCACAAACGTAAGAATTGAAGAAAATAACTTTGATACACGGACAAATAGGTGTGTAGCATACTAGAAAATAAATGCATATTGCAGAGGCTAAGCGGCTTTTAAACTAAAACTCACTGGTTCTCCGCACATCCCTTCCCCCGCAAGATGGAATTACTGTAGTCCGGTGCAAAAACCTACTATCTCTTTTTGTATTTCAAAAAATTAGGTGTTAAATTTTTTTTTTAATCAAGCCTATACTACGAGATATGTTTCAAACTGAGATCTAGCCTGTCGTATGAAGTGCTGTAATCACTCATTAGATAGTGATAATAATAATAATAATAATAATAGTGCAGACGATGCACTAAAGATGATCGTGTAGGCGTATATTAACGCAGACCCCACTCCATCAAGCCTTGCGCATTATTTATCATAACATGAAGAGTGTGTTGATATTAAATAGTCATCTTTGATAATTGACGAGCTCTTGTACCCAGTTGACGCTTTAGACTCTTCATCGCTTTGAGTATCTTCAGCTGTAGATGTACATGCGATATCAAACAAGTTGTATATAGAGTTGTGTTGGACGAACCTGTCATCTCCAATATTTGGTGAGGTGTGGCACTCATTTGCAGATTCTTCGCCACTTCTCTGCGTATCCGTATCCGCAGCATTGGGAGTGGAATAACTTTGAATTCCAAGATGATTTTCTGCAGTTGATTGCACTGGGTCGCCAACATAATCTGTGGAGACGAAATATTACTAGAAGTACGTGCAAAACAATTGAGCAGGGGCTGTCGGGAAAAGTTAAAAACGGAGATGTTCTTAACCCAATCTCCTGTCAACAACTAAAGAAAACAAAGGCAGTTAGTAAACTCACTTATTTGTATATTTTCATCTGGGATTCTTGATAAGACTAACTGCTTGTTGTCATGATTGCTACGTCTGAAATGAATAAAAAGGTGTTAATCTTATAGCATTTATCGAATGTGTTAAATAAATAAAATAAACTTTTAAAAGTCATGTTTGCTGACGAAAGTGTAAAGTTAAGAAAAGATCTTCATGAAACATATTTTACTATTTAAATACCATTTAAAATGGAAAAAGTAAAATCGATCGAAAGTTAAAAGGAATATCGTTACTCCTTAAGCAGGTTTCCTTAAAATCACTACGCTGTCGCTAGGGTATTTTTCGTGCAATTTTGTACTGCGTAGCAGTCTCCCATGCAATCGGAAGGTTCCCCGATTCGACCGACCAATCAGCATCATCGAAAGATGCAGATAGCCGTGTATTGTATAGAAACCAAGCTTAGTCATTGACGATCCAGATTGCCATGGTTGTATACTGTCATTTATACAACTTTGTTACTGCTTAATCATTATCCTGTTTTTTTTTTAAGCTTATTTAGATTAAGAGTAAGAAAACGTTAAATTTACCTTTTCCGAATCCGTCTTTGACGACAAATAAACAAACTTGTAACAACAATTAGAAATATGGCGATAAACGGTATTAGCATAAATCCTGTTACTTGAGTAAATAATATATAAATATATAACGTAAAAAGCCATGTTATTTTTTGCTAAATAATAAGTTAACAGATGGCGCCTCATAGTATACTGTCATTTATACAACTTTGTTACTGCTTAATCATTATCCTGTTTTTTTTTTTAAGCTTATTTAGATTAAGAGTAAGAAAACGTTAAATTTACCTTTTCCGAATCCGTCTTTGACGACAAATAAACAAACTTGTAACAACAATTAGAAATATGGCGATAAACGGTATTAGCATAAATCCTGTTACTTGAGTTGGCTCAGATGTAACTGCCAAAAAAAAAAAAAAAAAAAAAAATTGGAAGTTGGTCATTTAAAAAAAATTGGAAGTTAGTCATTTTTTGTTATCTTATTTTGTGATTTTATCTATTATTTCAGCAATACCAGATACGAATTTATTTTCAAACTTTATAATGATACGTACATGCAGCCTCGCACAATAGGGAGTTAATATATTTTATTATGTTTTTTGCTGCAGTCACTGTTTTCAATCTTGTAATTATTGAGGTTAAGTGGCCCATCTTCTATTGAAACTTTAGCACACGTCCCTGTGTTCCGTCTGTGTACGTTGAAATAACGATCGTCATATGTCTTCTGTATGTAAAGTACAGTAACTACTAACTGCTTGTACTCCTGATCGTTATTAATGACTGTAATGTCTCCTCCTTGTCGTTGGCATTCACGTCGAGCGTCATAACACGAAAGCTTTCTTGATGAATATAGGATGAATTTGTAGCAGGATGGTGACAAAATGTGCACATCTTTAATCAAGACTGTATATATGACAAATAAATATCAATATATATCAATACAGTAATTAAAACTAAATTATGATAGAATTTATTTATTATATAAAAGGCCTGTTATATAAATCATTGCCTAAATAAAAAATATAATACTTCGTCACACACACTCCCTCGCTCACCACCCTGCAATTTTTCCAAAATGTTACATTCACTACACTAATATGTATGCTATTATTCATTAACTTTTTACTGCAATTGGTGATAATTTTTTCCGTTGTCAACACTGATAGCACAGAGACTGAGGCACATCGGATTATAATTATTCTAATATTTAAGCCTTCAGAGATATAATGTCGAGTATATTTTGTAAATAATCTGTTTGTTTTGATTATAATAATAACATTGCTGGTGGAACACTTCTTTTTCTGTCATCGGTTTCTGTGTATAGGCCTAGTTGTTAGCTATAATTGAATGTCATCATCCAATTCTTTCTTCAAGGAAATACAAAATGTATTCATACCAATTTCTTTTTGAAAACTATCCGCTTTCCTGTAATACCATTTACCATTTGCCGTATAAATCAAATAGCAGTTACTGTCATCTCCTGCACACACAAACCCGCTAAGAAAAGAAATATCCAAATTGTTTAGAATACATATATTACGCAGTCCTCACTAAGATAAGCCAATGACACAATGCTGGCACTCTAATTAAGTTGTAATAATAATATCAAATTTATGATTAGGCCTACACGTAAAAACAATACTTACGGAGGGCATTGTGATTCAATAATGTCTAGACATGCATATTTCAAGATGAAAATCAATAACAATTTACTAAATCGTTGCATATTGTTTAAAGTCTTGGACTCAAAGAATGTACAGATAAGAGTCTTCTACGATTAGGACATCCTAAGCTACATGTTCATATCTCAGTAATTGGATAAAAAAAATCAACCGTTTCACTTTTGAATGACTATGTATGAATTTTATACAGTTTCCTGGAAAACTGGGGAAACAATCGTACGTTTATAGAATATCAAATAATATATAAGAATGGTTTCAACTATACTAAGAAACGTTATACAAATTACAGTATATAACAAATATGTAAAATATATATAAATAATGCAGAGCTCTCTAACATCGTATGCCTATATGCTTTTATTCTCGCTCGGAAAACTATTTTACATACTATTGGTTGTACATATTCACTTTATTGCTAAATATATGAACTAGGCCTATATGAACTATGTTGAACAATGTATATAAATAAATTGTAAAGCTACATTCAGATCTCGCATTCTCAACATAATGAGTAAATTAGCAGTACTTTTTATAAGTCAACTGCTTATCAGTATATTGCATTCATAACTGTGGGTGTTCACAATCAATCTCATGTATAAAAAACTTGCATTTCGAAATAATTTTAACAAAACTGTATGGAAATAATAGATGTGACACATATATTGCAAATAAATTTGGTCTTTTAAATTCAATCAAACACAATGCTGCATGCACAATTCTCTTACTGATATGATCAGAATTCTCCCTATACGACAAGTGACCATCATCGACATACAATGGGCTTATTTTATTTTCCAAGCATCGTATTTTTTATATCTCTGCAGATCATTGCGTAGACTTTGCATTTTTTTTCACGCAGTTTGTTATATTTATCCTTTGGGATTTTTTTCTGTACTTGTTTATAATCAATGTTATTGACCAATGTGTATAAGAAATTACGTTAGAAACTGGGATCAATGGTTTGTCAGTGAAGAAAATTGCGTCCGGTTGAACTCTATGCAACGATAGCGACGGAGTAGTATCACGTGGTATCGTGACGTAACACGGTAGTACTCTATACAACTATGTCTCAGAACGCTTTTCCACATTATTACCCCAGTCATTACTAATACTAATAAGATACTAATACTTCAAATATCGTCTAAAGCCAACTAAGACCAATCTAAGAAAACTTTTAAAAATTAAAGTAGGAGATGATGCTTTCTTTATGTGCCACCTTCGTATAAGAGTAGGTCTATATTATATTCTTTTTGGTATATTAAATTCTTTTTGGTTTACTAAATTACTAAATATTTCGACATTAATTATGTCATCATCAGGAATGACATAATTAATGTCGGAATATTGAATCCTGACACGATGGTGTGCATTTCGATACCTTTCGGTTTTTACTAAATAAGTATATGATGAACAATGTATACTGTAGCTATTGCTGGATCTCTTCTAAAGGTTTTAAAAGTGTTTCGACGTTCGCCCTCATACGACAGGTGATTATCATCGATCGCATTGGGCTTTTTATTTTCCAAGCATCGAATGTTTTCCATTTCTCTGCCCTGCTATGACAAGATCATTGTGTAGTCTTTTGTTTAGTTGTTAGTTTGTTATTTCATTTTTTCACGCAGCTTGATTTATTTGTAATATGGGGACCATTTCAGAACACCCTTGTTCGTATTCCACACACTGTTTATTTCTTTTCTATAATTGTTGATAACCAATGTTATTACCAAAGTGTGAATAAGTAAATGAATAATTATTTTTATTTGCTAGATTACATTAATATTTTATAAAATTACGTCATAAAAACAATGGAACATTCCAAACAAATTATAAGGCACCAAAGTCATAAGCACAAACGTAAGAATTGAAGAAAATAACTTTGCTACACCGACAAATAGGTGTGTAGCATACAAAAAAAATGCATATTGCAGAGGCTAAGCGGCTTTTAAACTAAAACTCACTGGTTCCCCGCACATTCCTACCCACGCAAGATGGAACTACTGTAGTCCGGTGCCTAAACCTACTATCTCTTTTTTGTATTTCAGAAAATTAGGTGTTAAATCATTTTAAAAATTAAGCCTATACTACGAGATATGTTTCAAACTGAGATCTAGTCTGTCGTTATGAAGTGCTGTAATCACTCATTAGATAGTGTAGACGATGCACTAGAGATGATCGTGTTTTGTTTCTTATCATGGAAGTTTTGGTTATTTTATATAGGCCCAGTGTTCTTATTTATTATTTCAGCAATACACTATGGAATGTATTTTTCACAGTGGCGGATTTAGAGAGGGGCGTACGCACCTCTATATCTTGTTAAAAAAATTGTTTTGTAAAGCTTATCAGAAAATTACCATGCTAAATATTAAAAATCAATCAAATATCAGCTCAAATTAATGAGGTTATGCTAGAGGTTTAAGGGAGAATCTTCCCTTGCGCCCGTACCAGGGATTCTTTCCTGAGACTCTCACTTAGTTCGGACATTCACGCCCCCCTCTTTCTTACCGGGCTGGATCCGCCCCTGTTGTTTTTCAGATTTTGATTATACATTATGATACGGTACCTGTAGCCTCGCACATTAGGGAGTTAATATATTGCTTCTTACTGCAATCACTGTTCTCAATATCGCAATCATTGAAGTTAAGTATCCCATCTTCTACTGAAACTTTGGCACACATCCCTGCGTTCAGTCTGTGTACGTTGAAAGAACGGATCCTCGAATGCCTCCAGTATGTAAAGAACACTTTCTGCGACTTTACCTTGGGTATCAATCCTGTGAACAGCAGAACAGGAACCATCTCAGATCCATGGCAACAGATAGGACGCCCTCTTCCAAAGCTGATTACTTTTTCTCTTTGGTATAATAGCGCTCTTTTATACACTTATAATAGCGCATGAATGGCGCCCTCTTGCTAAATTGGAAACTTTTGAACCTTGACCGACGCTTCTATTTGTTACGCGTAAATCGCGGAGAACGCTATCTTGTGTTTATAAGATCTTTGATTAACAGCATTTTACAGACTGGCAAAATGTAATACTTCGTAATATAAATTTATTCATTAACCGCTGCAGAATTTCCAAAATATATTATATTCACAACACAAATATATATTCTTTAATTATTTAATAAATTGCCATGCAATTGGGGACAATTTTCGCTGTTGCTATCTCCTAACATAGAGATATATATTAATAATGTAAGTTAATCTCTAATATTTACGCCTTTAGAAATATAACGCCGGGTATATTCTGTAAATAATCTGTGCTGACTTTGGCTATAATAATAAAAATATCGTCAACCAAATAATTTTTCAAAGAAATACAAAATATTGTAATTCATACCAACTATATTTGCATAACTATTCCCACGCCAATAGTACAAATAACTATTTTCCGCATAAATCAGGTAACAGTTACTATCGCGTGCACACACAAATCCAATATGAAAAGAATATCCATCGAAATTTGTTAGAATGCCGTTATTACGGAGTCCTCAATAGGACAAGCTAATAACACAACCTTATCACTATTATTAAGTAGAAGTAATGATATTTTTAAAATAACTGAAACAAAAAATAACAGAATGGATACGCAGAGAAAGTAAAAGAGGAAGAGGAAGACAGAAATAGAGGTGGGGAGACGACTTGAAAATATACGTAAGTAATATTGGTTGAAAGAAACATCAGACAGAAAAAAGTGGAAGAGAGTCACTAGAGGAGGGGTGAACTATGACATAGAGGAGGGGTGAACTATGACATAGAGGAGGGGTGAACTATGACATATACCGTAATGCATTCTTATATCATGTAGCTTCTGGTTGTTCACAATTCCTTGTTCAAAATTCATCTCATAATTGAAATAAAAATAACAAAAACTCCAAGTACATAGATAACAATTTACAATTCACTTTATTTGATAATCACCCCCAACAAAGAGGTATGGTCAAACTGCAAGCACAAAACAATAAATGAAGATGAAAAGAGAGAAAGAGAAACTCATAGTGAAAGAGTACGATGCCACTACGTCTAGGCATAAATATTTCCAGACTCAGTAGGCCAATGAGTTTACTAAATCGTTGCATGTGCCTATTGTTTAAGGTCTCGGAATCAAAAATTGTAGGCTTATATCAAAGGCCTATGGTTTTGGCATCTTATTTATGTTCATGTCCCAGTTAATTAGTTTTACTTTTGATAGAAATTACCATGTCAACTCTAGAAAAGCTAAAGTATAATAGGCCTATGATTACACGTAAACCAATACATAGAGAGGACATTTTGTTTGCACAACGTCTAAGCATGAATATGTCCAGATGAGAATCAATAGGAGTATACTAAATTGTTGCATATTTTTTAAGGTCTTGGAATTAAGAAATGTATAGATAAAAGTCTTCTATGACTATGACAGCTTAATTTACATATTCGTGTGCCATTTAATTGGTTAGAAAATCAACCGTTTCACTTTTGATAGAATTTATCGAGTCATTTGAAAAAAAGCTAATGTATTTAAGTAAAGAAAACAGCTTCCTGATTAACAGATACATGCACGATTGAAGGTTTATAGCACATCTACTAATATACAGAATGGCTTCAACTATGCTTAGAGATGTTAGGCGAAGTACAGTATGTAAACAATATAAAAGATATATAAATAATGCAAAGCTCTGTAACATCGTATGCCTACTTGTTTTTATTCTCGTTCAAAAGCGGATCACTTTAAAATTTATTTTACATGCATACTAAATAATAATATATGAATTATGATAAACAATGTATATTGTATAATGTAGATTTTACTTGTTCACAATCCATCTCATAATTGAATTATAACAAAAAGATAAAAACTAAAAAATACATGGGTAACTATAATAGTTGTGACAAATAATGTAATTATAAATGTTTTAACTTTAAGGTCTTGCAAACCTCAATTCTCCTAAAGGCTTTAAAAGTGTCTGGTATGAACACGATCCAGCATCGACCGCATTAGGCGTGTTTTATTTTCTAAGCCTTGCATCTTTTCCATTTCTCTGCCCTGGGTATGACAGACTCATTGTGTAGGCTTTGCTTTAATTGTTTTTAATCTGTTATTAAATTTTTTATCACAATGTTTGATATAGGCTTATTTATATATGAGAAAAATCGTAGAGCAGTCTTCACGATCGTTATATTCCACACACACTTAATTGTTTTTCTGTAATTGTTTGAAATCAATGTTATTGCCCAGTATGAATAAGTAGATAAGTCAATGCGGAATCATTCTTATTTGATAGATTGCATTAATATTTTACAAATATTACGTCATAAAAACAATGAAACATTCAAAAGAGAATGTACAAACTAACCAGTCATAAAGTACGACTGTTAAATTCAAAGAAACCTGACTCAAAAGAATAGGCCTATCTAGTACCCCGATCAATTAGGTGTAGCATACAAGAAATTGAAGTAAAATGCATACCGGTATAGGCCTATCTAGGCTAAGCGGCTCTTACATACTTTTTGTTAAATTCATTGGTTCACTGCACATTCCGACCCCTGCGAGAAAGATGGAACTAATCCTGTGCCAAAATCCTACTGGTTTTTTTTTTTTTTTTTTTGTGTATTTTTTTTTTTTTTGTGTGTATTTCGTAAAGTTAGGTGTAAGCCTATATACGCAATATGTTTCAAACTAAAACCCAGCCTGTCGTTATCAACTGCCATCATCACTTTTTAGATTTCAGACGGTGCACTAGAGATGATCGTGTGGGCGTATAACGCAGACTCCATTTCATCTCGCCTTGCGCAGCTGCATTCCTCATTGGAAGAGTGTGTTGGCATTATGTAATCTTCGATAATTGACGAGCTCTTGTACTCAGTTGACGGTTTAAGCTCTTCATAGTCGCCTTCTTGAATAAATTCAGCTTTGAGGGCGGAGTAACTTTTATCTCCCATAAGGTGTCCTACCGCTGAATCCACACCATCACCAGGTTTATCTAGTTGGGATTTAAACACATTCATCTATTAAAATTACTTGAATATTTAAATTAAATCAGTTTTTCTTCAAAATTTGTTTTTTATGGTTTTGTACCAGGAACATGTACAAAGTTTACATTTCCTGGCTGTACTCACTTTTTGATTGATGCTTTTCTATGCTTCTTGATGAGGTTAAAGTTGGGTTATTATAACAACAATTCCTATAATTAAGAAATATGCATTATAGACACGATTATTATTCTAGTAAATGTAAGACCTTAAACTTAGCTTGATCATCTAAATTTACTGAAGAAACTCAAGTTGAGGAAATTAATGGACACCATGTAAAACTGAAATATATGCTCATGATACTGTATGCAAGTATTTCTTTTTTCTGCTTTTACTTTCGTAGCATACATGGTAAAGAAACAATTACCTTTTCCGCATTCGTCGATAAATGCACACACTTAAAATGGCGATAAGAATCATCACAACGATAAGCGGGGCTAGAATAGACACGACTGTCGGACTAGAATCTTCCAGTAATCCCCCAGGAGTTGAAATTGCAAGGGTCACCTTCGTAAAATATGATTCTGTTTAAAAAAAAAAAGTAGTAAGCATATTGACATTTTGTATAGAAGGTTTACTGTTAGTTGTCAGAAATTATATTTTTGGCCTAAAATCGATCGAATCTACAGTGGGAAATATGAATTTATCCCTAAACCTTCTTAATCAAATACTATAGTTATTACATTCAACGTGTATACGAGCGGTTTCAGGTCTATATATAATTACGAAAATATGATGTAGTAATAAATAACAGAAAAAATGTAAAAAAAAAAAAAAAAAACTTTACTGTATTTTTGGAAAACTACTTTGTTGTTTCTATAAATTACTTATTTCAGTACTACACACTGTAGTTTATCGCAGATTATATTATCATCTTTTGTACGTACCTGTGTCTGTATTTGTACCTCCTTTGTACGTACCCGTACTTGTACCTGTGGCCTCACACATTATGGAATTAATATTTTGTTTTTCATTACGGTCTTTTATTTTAATCATGTCACTATTTTCCAAAATACCGTCTTGTATTGTAACTTTAGCACACATTTCTTGTGTATTTACATTGAAATAACTGTCTTCCTTTGTATACAATATGTAAAGAACAATGTCCACCAATTGATTATACTCTTGGATGTTGTCTATGAACGTAATGTTTCCTTTCTCATGCTGGCATTCAAGTTGAGCGTCATAACATGATTGCTCTCTTGACAATCCTTGTGGGATGAATTTGTAACAGGATTTTGACAAAGAATATTCGCCTTTAAAATCAGATTGACATTACATTAGTAACAAAGACTGCGCTAAACTATAGAATATAATGGGATGACATAAATTTGCCTAACATAAAATTGAGGGACAATAGTTTAGTTTAAGAAAATGTTGAAAAAAAACTCACACACGACTATGCAATTGCATAATATATATATATATATATATATATATATATATATATACACCTATATATACAGTATAGGCACATATATATTATTCAATATAACATAGGCCTAAGCAACGGCGGCGGAACATTTTTGAATTTTTGAAAGTGAGGGGCCATTTCATAAGGTTGGGTATGCGAGCGAAGCGAGCATCTATGCTGGGGCCAGGGGGCCGCCAAGGGCCCCGCCCCCTGGAAGCTACGGATATTACGAAGTTTGGTGAATTTTATAATTATAGGCATCAAGCTACTGTAATATGATTTCATATTTGTTGTAATTTCCAGTGGCGGATCCAGGAATTCGAAATAGAAGGGCCCAGGGAGGGTATTTTCACAGATAGAAGATCCATACTAAGACAATTTGTGATTACTGGCACCTCTAGATGACCGGAAATTGCACTTCCAGACATAAAATTTGAATATAATTATCTTTATATCTCCATCTTTTTATTGAACAATTTAGAAGGGTGGTGGTGGGCCGGCTGGGTCCCCTTGAATCAGCCACTGGGTACTTCTGAATCTATACCACCTCAGCCCCACCGTGGTTGGGGCTGAGGTAAGAAAATTTGTGATTATGGCACCTCTAGATGGCCTGAAATTACACTCTTAGACTTAAAATTTGAATATAATTTTCCTTATATCTCGATTAAAAAAAAAATTGAATTAACCTCCCCCTCCCCTTGAACGCGTCACAGATTTCCGAACAAAGTCGAGATTGCTTCCACGACCTCAATAAATTATTTATTATGAGGGTTATCCTTGATATGTGTTCCCCGACGAAAACTTCACTTTTCCCCGATGAAATTACCCTTCTATGTAGCTCAGAAATGATACTCCAACTGTGGCGGGTCCAGGAAGTCGAAATTGAGGGGTTCCAGGGAGAGTCTTGCGTAAATAGAATGTCCACCCGCCTCAGCCCCACAACTGTTGGTAAGAGGTAAAAAAAAAATATGATTATGGCACCTCCAAATGGCCGGAAATGGCACTCTCAGATTAAAAGTTGAATACAATTATGTTGGTTTTCTCAATTTTTTAAAAAATAATTCTGAAAAAAAGGGATGGGGTCCCGTGCTGACTGGGTTTCCCCTTGAATCTGCCACTGTTCAATAGAACACATGACATAGCCTACCATTTTGTTTCACAAATGATTAATTCCTAATGTCAAGCGAAAGATTTTTTAATTCGAAATATTATTTTTTACTCAATACAGTTTTTACAACCTATAACACATTAACTACAGTGTACTGTAAATTCTGTAGTTAACCTTCAGACAACTTTATTTAAAAGAAGTGGCCTAATAAGTATCTTATTGTTTTCGTTAAATTAGAGTTTAAATGTGGTTATATTACGCTAGTTTGAAGGTTTACTGTAAGCCAATCAGTTATGCTTACTATACATCTTCGTGGTTAGCATAAAGAGAACTAGAACGTCGCTCCATTTTAAGAGACGGTGCCTACCTCCCCCCATATGCCTAAATAAGAATTCACGAATGCAGGCGATTTTTTCTGCATGCTAGAGGGTGGGTTTCAAGAAAACTTTACAGACGCACGTGTACAGACACAGAGGGAACTTGTAATGTTCGTTAGAAAATGTAAAAAAAAAAATTTAAAAAAAATCCATATTTAATATTAATAATAATAATAATAATAATAATAATAATAATAGGGCAATTTGTAAGGAGCAAATAAACAAGGTCCCTAAGCACCAAAAAAAAAAAAAAAAAAAAAAAAAAATTTTTTTGGGGCCCCCCCCCCCCCCCTTTTTTTTCCCCCCCCCTTTTTTTTTTTTTTTTTTTTTTTTTTTTTTTTCAAGAAAACTTTACAGACACAGAGGGAACTTGTAATGTTCGTTAGAAAATTAAAAAAAAATCTATATTTTATAATAATAATAATAATAGGTCAATTCATAAGGCGCAAATAAATAAGGTGTAAGCACGAAATAACAATAGTAATAATAATAATAATAATAATAATAATAATAATAATAATAATAATAATAATAATAATAATAATAATGACCATTGCAGCGTTCGTAAAATGTTTGTCACCGGCGCTGGTAACAGTCACAAAAGTGGGGGGAGGGGCAGGCCCCGCAGTAGAAAAAGTGGGTGGGCCAATGGCTCCCCTGGCTCCCCCCACCCCCCGCTTCCGCCGCCGTTGGGCCTAAGTCAAGTTGCTGCTTAGCATTAGGAACACAAATAATGTATAAATCCAATAGATAATAAGTCAGTGCGAATTAAAATAGCGCTCGGTTCTGTAGCCATTAGCCAAGAAGACATGTATGTATGTATGAAACGATAAAAGATTCACTACATGCTACAAGTAGGCCTACGAAATCGCCTCGACGTAACCGTAAGTAAGTGGAAAATATAGAATACTCGCGTGTTGTGTATGCGCCTGAGGCATATAAAAGCTTTATCCTTGATCCAGATACTACACCATGCAGCCACGGCACACGAATATCTTGATTTTTTAAAGTAACATTATAAGTTTATTCAACGTTAAATTTTAAACAAATATTTATTGGTGCATATTATTAATATATTACTGATTAAATTAGTGGGTTTTTGAAGTTTGATATTATTTATTATGTTAACGGTAGAATGTTGCAATCTGATGTTCTAGGTATTTTTTTTAATTCTATACCTATGAACAATTTAGCCTGACAAACTAAATCGTCTTTCGAATAATCCTAGAGAACATACATGATAGATATTTCATACCAGTTCTCACTGCAGCACTATCTGAGTACTTGTAATTCCATTCACCATTCACTGTATAAATTAGGTAGCACGTACTACCACGAGAACACACAAATTCACTAAAAAAAAAATTCCACCTGCATATTAGTGTAAACAACTCAATCTTAACAATTGACGATTGTGTGTGCATTTAGTTTCCTTAAATTACACAAACTATAGAATAGAAATATTAGAATTAACATCATCATCGTCATATCATCATCCTTATTCTCATCATCATCATCATCATCATCATCATCATCATCATCATTACAAGCAGCAGCATAAATAGTAGTTTAGTAGCAGTAGCAGCAACAATAGTAGCGATAGTAGTAGCTCTTGCTGTCGTCGTTGCTGTTGATGTTGCTGTTGCTGTTATTATTATTATTATTATTATTATTAATATTATTATTATCATTATTATTATTAATAACATTATTATTATTATTATTATTATTATTATTATTATTATTATTATTAATAATATTATTATTATTAATATCATTATTATTATTAATAACATTATTATTATTATTATTATTATTATTATTATTATTATTTTTATTATTATTATTATTATTATTATTATTATTATTATTATAAAACACTACTTACGGAGGACAATGACGTGTTACCACAACGTTCACAACTGAATATTTCCAGAGGAGAAGCAGTAAAATCTTATTGATTCGTCGCATATTGTTTGAGGTGTATGGCTCAAGGAAAGTACACAATAAATGAGTAAGTTTTAGCAAGCCCAGTACGATATACAAATTTACATATACGCATTCTTAGAAACCCATCCAATAAATTACGCTGGTTGATAAAATTTTAGTTTTGATTGGATGAACCTTCAAAGTCAACACCTTCATTTTTCAAGCTTCCGTTTGTTTTGCTTTCAGATTTTTTTTTTAAACAGAAAGATGCGACATCATATGTTTATAGCACAGAACAATTTTATTGGTCATGAAAACTTGTCACAAGCACAATTGCTAATAGTGAATATTTCAAAAAACGGAAATTATATAGATTTTTAATATATTATTATAAACTTAACTTCATAAAGACCTGCAAAATAGATGGCAAGATAAGAATGTAACGCTTTCTTAAATAAAAACTTCCAGGAGCCAATTGGACTTATAGGGCAGAGGAGCTTATTCCCAGTTTATGCAGTGTGAAGCACTAGATCTTCTACTCGTATCTACCAAACTCAAACTAGATGTTGTGTTTCAGCCAATGTTAAACACAATTTTCGGCAGTGTCATGTGTAATGCTTTGTTTTCTACCTTAATTGTGCTTAGACATATGACATAAAAGTTATGGGGGTAAGATGGGATTTATGGAGCGGTATCGTTGATATTTATTTTAATGAACACAATATCAAAATCTTATTATATTCTATTTTTTTATTTTATAAAAAAAAAATATGTAATTGTGTATATATAAAATTTAAATATAATGAAAGGAATTTAGAGTCTATATTTTTTATATTTCTCCATTGCATTATTCCGCTTGCTGTTTCTAAATAAGTGCAAGCAATTTTTAAATTGATGTTTCTCCGATGCTAATCATCTTCTTTAATGAAACGCTAGGTGGCAGTCTACACGCATGTTTCAACCGACCGTGCATCAGTTGTTAGGGGCGATTGTGGCATCGTATAACGCTGGTCCCACGTCATGTCTTGTGCAGCGTTCCTCATCATCGGATAATTGTGTTGGCACCATGTAGTCATCTATTACTACTAGGTACTCAGTTGCCGCTTTAGATTCTCCTTCGGCACCTTTATGAATATCCACGATTGTGGCGTATAGCTCATCTTCCACATGGCATTTTACCGCTGATTGCACAACTTCATTCAGTGGTGGTTCTGGTGAGATAGGAACATTTTCTTTATGAAGATTACTTGAATACTGTTTAAACCAAAACATTTATGAAAACAACATAGTTAAACACATGTGTCTCTGGTGGTACTTACGTTTTGGTTGATTTTTGTCTGTACATCTTGTTAAGGCCACATTGTTATGATAGCAATGTCTGAAGTTAAAAGAAACATGCACGTTTACGTTATTCAGAAAAGCAAGAACAAAATAGTAAAAACACTTCATAGAATATGCATACCCCCAAAAAATAAAACAGAAAAAACAGCAGTATACCCTCAAGGAAATAATGGAATCGCCTGACGTATCAGACACTTTATTATCTTGAGTGCAACAGCATACCCTACAAAACTAATAGAATCGCCCATCGTGTTCTTGAGTGCCTTCAAAATCAAAGGGGCGATTCCATTATTTTCTTTTATGCTAAATTTTACGTGACATTGTCCTTTGACCTTTTTCCGAAAATTAAATGGTGTCTTTCCTCAGTTATGATGTATCATTCTACTAAATTTTATGAAGATCAATTTTAGTTTTTGCGTAAACTTGCTAACAGACAGACAAGTAGACAGCGGTGAATACATAACCTCCTTTGGTGGTGAATACATACACTCCTTTGGTGGTGAATACATACCCTCCTTTGGTGGAGGTACTGTAATAAAGATATGATTTCTAAATTCACAACAAAGTGCTTATTAGAAGCACGAAAAAAAAACAACCCAAAGCATTTAGTTTAAATGTAGTCAATTTATTATTTTACTGATATAGATATTCACTTAATATTCTGAAAGTAATACAGTCATCATAAAATATTTCTATATAAATTTAGAATGTATATTTTGTTACCAGATTATTCGGTTCTTACTTTCTAAAAACATGCTAAAAACAATATTTTACCTGTTCCGCATTCTTTGATAAACGAACAAACTTAAAACGATGCTTAGAAATACGACGACGAGAAGCGGCGTTACAATAGGTACCACATTAAGTCTACTAGCTGCTTTTTCCTGACCTTCATGTGGTTTATAGTCAGTCGTTGAAACTGTCGTAAAATATGATAACAAATTAATGTGGCCTGTTATTTTTTGTAGGAAGGGATATTTTTTATACATAACATAGAATCGTTTATAAATATGATAAATATCAATTAAAAATTCAATAATAAATAAAAATTAGAGTTTGTGTAGTTATTCTTGAATTTTGATTAAATAAATTACAATCAATTTACAATGCTGAATTTCTAAAACGGTTTGTGGATATGTTATGTTGTTTAAGTCTAACCCTTCCCGATCTATTTACGATAATGTCTGAGTATAATGGATGGGATGATTCTTTCATAATTAAATTAAATTTCTTAAGTGTAACATTTTTAAAGATACTGGTAACTTCTAAATATTTCACATCGGCTAGAATCACTCTGCCAGCCTCGTTAACAATTCTCGATAGTTTACATTTGCTGTCTACGGTGATATGAGAAAACCAAATATTTATACAATAAGAAAGGATATAATATAATAATATTAATATAATATATATACATATAAATATATATATATATATATATATAGCCGTTAGCACTGTTAAATTATATTTAAATTATCAAAGAAAGGTAATAACCTGTCTCTTATACACATCTAGATGTGTATAAGAGACAGTCTTGACACTAGTATCATCAATATCAAACACTATGGAATAAGTTACTTCAGAGCAGCTTAGACTTTACGGGGTGCACATTATCATCTCAAACCCATCAACCCTGAATTTACCTTTCATGTGAGAACTTTGAACTTTATTGGAACACTTTTGTATCAGTGGCACACACCATCTGGTGGTGCATCCAAATAACAAACAACATTTCACAAAATACAAAGAAAAGATACATTGAAAAAAATTTAAAATGATAGAAAAGTAAACATTAATGAGTACAATGGAAGGAATGTCCCATGACCAAGAGACGGGCTGCCCAACTCGACAAGGTGGAGCCTAGCCGAATGGAGCAGTCTAACTTTCAGTGAATTACTCAGCACTTAAGACATGTTCATTTTGTTGGCCTTAAATTTTAAACACACTTAAAAAGGTCCTTGTCATTTGAAGAATGACAACCATAACTACCAAAAGTGACTAATAATAATTTTTTTCTTCCTTTCCTCCTCCTTTCTTTTCCTTTTCTCTTTCTTCTTCTTTTTTCCTCCCCTCCCTTGTTTCCTTCCCCTCCCCCCTTTTTCTTTCAAACAATTCAAATGACTAAGAGAAATTTAGGTGTGACTAAATAATAAATAATGATAACAATAAATAATGCCTTAATAACAAACAACTTAATGACTACAAACCTAACTAACAGTGAGAAAAACTAAAGTACAATTTAACTTGTTTGGGAGGTAATGTAGCAAAGATCTACTTGTCCATGCATTAATTAAATATTCTTTACATTGGAAATCAAAGGTTTGTTCTAATATTACATTTTCTATATACATATCATCAACCTTAAGGTGACGTTTAAATTGCTGTGATCCATTTTTAAAACTATGCCAATATACACTTAAACCATTTTCGTGAAGACTTTCCATAATATTTGAGTATGTAATATCTCTAATAAAATTTAATCTAGTACAGTCAAATAAGAAGTGTTCTACAGTTTCTTTTTGGTTGTCTGTATATAGTTTGCATGTGCCTGTGTTAATATGATTAGACCATGATTGTTTGCGGCCTTCAAGATCCAACGAGTTGGGTTTTGCTTTGAATTTTAAATTAATGCCTTTGAAGTTTGATTTGTCCAGCAAATACTGTTCAAAGTGTGGATTTCCTTTATACATTAAATATTCTGACAATGATGATTTACTTTGAGCACAAATAAGCCATTCTTTATCATCATTGTTTCTATTTTCTTTCCTAAATTGCCTGATCCAGTCAGTTGCAGGTTCTTGATTAAACTTATAAAATTGAATCGACTTTGTTTTAGTATCTCTTATATTGGATAACCATTGCAATTTTAAGTTTTTCTGAACATAAAAAATTGCTTTGAAAAGTAAATAAGACCATCTGTCATCTTCCATATTTTTTAGTCTATTAAAGTATTGGACCCTAAAATCATTTTGAATTGAGTTAACAGTTTGCCATCCTAATTCACCGTATAATGCCTCTTTGGCAACACTACTTGGGGCTTTAAGTATAATCCTTGCCATTTGGTATTGCATGTTCTCAATTTTTTCTGGCAATGTTTTTCCATTGCAAAACCAAACTGAGCTTGCATAATTGATAGTCGGCAATCCAATAGTTTTCCATAGCAAGTCCCCGTAAAGACTCTGTTAAAGTCTTCTTGTTCAGTTAGTATTGACTTAATATATGCAATAATACGGTTGCCCTTTTTAATAACTTCATTTATGTGTTGTGTATCAGATAATGATCGAGAAATGTGTACTCCCAGATATTTATAAGTTTCACTTTCAGAAATATAACCATTCCCGAGTCGCCATTTCCTATGTACTTTAATTCGTTGTCCTGTAATTAGAACATTTGATTTTTCGTAATTAAAAGCGAGCTTCCATTTATTTGAAAAATCTCCCGCAGTTTCTAATAGTAAATCCAGGTCTCGATCATTATCTGCCCTCAGCGGCGTGTGCGAAGCACAACTCAGAGTCAGAAGTGGAACGGGAGCTGTAATTTGTATGGCAAGGAGATGGTGCTACCCATAATTCGTATTAAGGGAATTCACGCCCACAAACCTTGTTGTTATTAATATTTTGGTTATAATAGAAAACTTTTATTTTTTGGCGACGTCATACTCACGCTATAGTTAGCATGCATAAGTCATAAGATAGATTACGTCACCTTTTCCTGGTAAGGCAAACTTTCCCGGCGTGCTTTTTTCATGGATAAACAAACACCACTGCTTTGCACAGGGCTACAAGAGCCGCATAGTTAGCATATAATACTTTAACAAGGCACATCTGCAACTGAATTATTCTTAGGCCCTATTTAATTTTTTTCTTATTTTAATTTATTTCTTTCGAAAGTGTACTTTCTATCACATAATTGCACTTGGGCCTAGGGCCTAGTCATATTATGCTTCATCGTCCCCCGCTATACAC